AGGTTGCGGTGTTGCCCCTCCCCCCCGCAAAGTTGATAGCCGAGTGTCCGTGACTTCCTGAACTCTCTTTGTCTTTGCTGCCTTCTTTCCATCCTCCTCTCTCTCCACTTCAGGCTTTTCATCGCTCACCTGCTCAAAGTTCAATTTCCTCTTCACTTTGTCAGAACCATCCCTTGCCTTCTTTTGCTCTACCACCCGCTTGGCAGCCTTGTAGGACAACTTCATCGGGCTTTCCTTGGTCTCCTGCGCTTCACTTTTTTGCTGTTTTTTTCCTTTGGTGCCTCCAGTCTTGCGTTCGAAGGTGTCCTCTTTGTCATCTGCACCTTTTCCTGTGTCCTTCTTCCTCCCTTTTTCTTTTGCTTCGGCCGGAGTCTTGCGCCTCTCGTCTTGATCATGTCCTTGCTCCTGTGCTTCATCATCACCTTTTTCAACATCTTTCTTTGCCTTTCCTCTTCCTCTGCCCCTTCCTCGTCCTCGCCCTTTGCTTTTCTTTTTCTCCTCTGATTCCTCTTCGGCTTCACGAAGCATCTTGTCATCGTCATCGCCTGAGCCCTCACCTTCTTCCTCCTCTGCTAGCTTCACCTTTTTCATCTTTCTTTGCGCTGCCACTATGTCATCGTTTGTGGTCCAGCTGAGGGTTTTGTGGATCTTGCCCAGGGATGCCATGATCACCTCAGTCTTTTCCTTTTGTTCCTCACTTGCCTCAGCTTCATTTGGGATCAGAGGTCTCCCACGGTCATCCATGGTGGCTGCTGCTTCCTCATCACTGCTTTGCAACATAATCGCAGTTTCCCCTTCCTTCTTCTCAACCTCCTCTTTAGATTCCTGGGGCGCTTTCGTCTTTCGCTTCTTCATCTCCTCATTCCCTTTCTTTTCATTGTTGTCCTTCGCTCCGACCTCACCTTCTTTCTTTCGCTTCTTCACATCCTCCTTCGTCTGGAGGGCCACAGCTCCAACAACCTTTGCAGCCTCAATCGCTTCAGCATTCTTCTTTGCTTTTTTGCGCTTTCCTCCTCAGCGTCGGCCTGATTATTCTTGCTCTTAAAGCGTTCCCAGTACTGTTTGCGCTTTTCCTTCCGCATTTTGCTCACTTCGTCTTCATCCTCCTCCTCATCCTCTTCCTTGTCATCCTCCTCCTTCATTGACACCTCTTTGGCCTCCTTCTCTTCTTCAACCTTCGTTGTCTTCTTCTTTGGTTCTTTTGTCTTCTTCGGAGGATCTTCTCCATTCTTCTCTTCAGGTTCCTGCGGTGGTGTTTTTTTCTTCTTTGGCTTCATCTCTTCACTGTCTTCTTTCTTTTCCTCCTCCTCTTCTGCTTTTGTCTCTTTCTTTGCCTTTTTCTTTGGACCTTCCTTCGGAGGATCTTCTCTATTCTTCTCTTCAGGTTCCTGCGGTGGTGTGTTTTTCTTCTTGGGCT